GGGAGCAGCATGGGGGTTTGCCAGCCAGGGGGAGTGTAAGCTGGGTGTTTGGGTGACTTGCAGCAGCCCAGATGTCCCAGTCCTGGTGTTTCAGACACACCACAGGCCCCAGAAGATGAAGGTTCATCTTCCCAAGAATATTCCCATAAGCTATGGCCTCTCTTGCACGGTCAGTAAACTTGGATTGATCCCCCCACCTGAGCTTTGCTGGGAGCCAGAGACCAAAGGCTGTGCTGGTGCATTGCTGGGCTCCTGCGCCAGCCATGGTCTCATCTCCATCCAGCCCAGTTTGGCTCAGAATCATGAGGAATCACCAGAAAAGGGGCACTGGGTGACCGTGCTCTCAGCCTCGTGGGCAGAGCATCCCCACGCAACCCCTGCAGGGGTACCTGCTGGTGTCCCTCCACCTCTGTGCAGGAGGGGTGATGGTCGGGGGCAAGATCTCACCGGGGGCCAAGCATGAAGGTCCTTTTGCTGGACCCTATGCTGAAGGCCCAGCTCCAAGACATGGCCGTGGCATTGCTGAGGGACTGTGCCTTTCCACAGTGTTCAGCTCTGCTCGGCTGTACGATCAAACCCTTGTCCCTGCCTAGGCCACGTCCCTCCGCTGTGCGGGCACGCGCCTGCCTCTGCAGCCGCATGGTGCTGATCAAGGTGAAAAGTCACCCAGGCAAGAAGAAAGGACACAGCTCCCCAGGGTCACCAGGCAGCTAAAATGTTCCCTGGTCACCGATAAAACGGAGTCATCGTCCCATGAGCAGTGGCCATGTGCCTTTGCCTACACCTCCTTTACTGAGCATCTTTCCCTCTGCTCTTCTCTTCTTGAGCCCATCTCCTTCCCACACTCCCTCCGCCCAGGCCCTTGCCCCCAAGCACGCTTTCCCCACTCCCTTCTAGGTGCTCTATCAACCAGGGGGAGGCTGGTGGTGAGAGGGAGTCCTCCAGAAGGGACGAGTGCCCCATGCCCCTCGCACATGGCCATCGATCTGCGACCCCCCCAACTCCCCCCAGGGTCAGCTGGGGAAGGAGGGGGGTGCGATTGCGACAGCGACACATGGCTGATTCATTCTTTGATCCAATCTCTCCCTCCTCACTCCCAAATGATTCGAGTCAAATAAAACACATTTTAGTAGTCAAATCTGTAAGGGTGGGTCCCATTGTGCTTTGACCCTACAGGGCATTTTGTACATTTAATTTGATTTACACCCAAAATGTTAATTTAACGTGCTGGATTTTCTCCCACACCCAAGTAACGCTGAAAATTAAACAAGATCCTACAGAAAGGTTTATGTGCCATTATCTCGTTAGCATTGTTATTTGTTGAGTAGTTAAAGTGCTCGGGCTGTACGTGCAACATTGCTCCAGCGGGAGTATGGAGAAGGACGCCGGCCGCCCTGTGACGTGTCCGTGGGGCTGCCTCGCTGGAGACGGCACAGCCCCAAGGATGACACTTCATGGTGCTGCATGTGGCTCCTTGCAACAGTGTTGGTGGGACCATGCTGTGAGCACGATCCCCAGGTTCCTCCGGGTTAAAAAATACCAAGGAATGGTCATTTTAGGAAAGGCAGCATGGTTTTCCTCTGGGCTGTTGCCAAGCAACACCCAACCTTGGTCAACAATCTGTATTTCCACCCACTAGCTCAAGGGGAAGGCATCCCACCACCGCTGAGATGCTCTACTTCATGTAGATTGTGCCTCTCCATCCAGCTCCTCTTGGCTTGCCAGAGGCTGCAGGACCTTCTCTCCACCCTGTGCCTCCGACGGCACTGAGCACACCACAGCCCGTGACCACTCGTGTCAGGGCTCCAGAGCCGATAATAATAATTTAGTTCCCGATTCAGCCGTGCTTGTAAGTGCACGTCTGGCTTGGAGCACCCAATTAAAGTGAAGTGTGTGCTCCAGGACCTCGCTAAATGGGAACCTCAAAGCAGGATTTGAAAAAGCCAAGAAGACATTAAAGTAGTCACGGCAAACTCTTGGTTCAGGAGTGTTGTGATTAATGTCATTTGCTACCTCTTTTGGCTTAAAAGTTGAGGAGTGGTTAAAATAAAAGAAACCTCAAGTTGAAAGCATTGCAAAAAATCAATTAAAACCCATGGAGCTGCATTTTGACCCGGAGCAAAATCTCAGACGTAACAGAGAAATTACATAGCCTTAAAGAGAAAGAAAGAAAGAGAAGGTTTTACGTGTGGTATTGCTGAGGTATCGCCCGAAGGCGTGCTGGGGTGGCTTCTCCCCTGGTACCTGCGGAGACTGTAAACTCCCCGCAGGAACTGGGGAGCCAGCAGCTGCCCCCCAGTCCTTGCCGTCGCTCCCAGGGCCTGTCCCATGGGCAAGTGGTCAGGGCTCAAAAGCCTTCCCAGAGGAGCAAGCGCTGGGTGGTGGAGTAACTCAGCGCATCGTTCCCCTACCAAAATGGTAGGTACAGTAGGCTGCTGTGGCTTCCAGATGGGCTTTCCTGGCTGGAGACACCGATCGCTTTGGGATGCTCAGCCTGGAGGACCTCTCCTGTGGTGCGGCACCTGATGTAGGGCTCAGGGCTAGGGCTTCCACCACTCCCACGGCCCCAGGGCTCAAACCCATGCGAGAGCTCACACCAGTTTGCCCCTGGATGAAGTCCCCAACAGCCCCACAGTGGTGGTCCTTGCTCCCCAAAAATAGCTGTGGATGTGTGTTAAGCAGAGCTCTTTCATTTGACCACCACATTTGAGGGCGCCTCCTTTCCACAAGTTCCACATCCATCCCCTGAAGTAAACTCTTCCTCTCAATGAAACCACCGGTGAAACTCCTATCGATTCCCCCACGGCTGGAGCTTTGCTCTTTGGGAGGAAAGAGGTGACCTTAGAGAAGAGCGAGGACATCTGAAAGGCCTCTTCACACGGTGAAACACCTCCTGGTGCTCAGCCCCACCA